AATCTCTCTGCAGTTGCAGAAGCTCCTGCCATCAAACATTGATTTAGTACTTCAAACTCTGGTTCCAAGTACTTAGCCACCAGTTCAGAGGTTTGACTTTTTAAAAAAAGTTTAGCCACAAAAATGTATTACTAAGTATCTATACATATTTTAATAGTTTAAACCAGTGGTCTCAAACTCCCGGCCCGCAGGCCATCTGCGGCTCACAAGCCTCCCCAATGTGGCCTGTGGGGCACCAGCAGTTTTGGGGCCGGGTCTCTTCTGTGGTCCCACCTGCCACCCCAGGGCACTCCCCCCTCAGGAGCCCAGGCAGTACATCTGCCTGCTCACTCCAGTGACTGCTGGCCCCTCCCTGCAGCCCAGGGGCAGGCCAATGGGATGCTGTGGGGGCGGTGCCTGGGAGCAGAAGCTTGTGGAGGCCCCCTGGCCCACCCTGCCTTGCAGCCCCACGTAAGTGGCACCCTCCACCCCCTCTCTACACACCCCCTCCCAGTCTGCACCCCAGCCCCAGCCCCCAAACTCCATCCCAAAGCCTGCATCCCAGAGCCCCTCCCCCACCCAAGCTCCCTCCTAGAGCCCAACCTCTCACCCCTTCTGCACCCAAACTCCCTCCCAGAGTCTGCACCCCAATCCCCTATGCAGACCTCCTACCCCACCCATACGTCTGATGAAGTGGGTATTCACCCACGAAAGCTTATGCTCCAATACGTCTGTTAATCTATAAGGTGCCACAGGACTCTGTTGCTTTTTACAGATCCAGACTAACAAGACTACCCCTCTGATACTCCCCCACCCAAACTCCGTCCCAGAGCCTTAGGCAGGTGGGGGGGCGGAGTTTTTGGGGGGTGGGTTCTGGGCAGCATGAATGACATTGGCTCACTGGTAGGATTTGAGGACTGGCACTGGCCCTAAGGTAAATTGAGTTTGAGACCCCTGGTTTAAACCTTAACATAGGTTGTCAGTTTCAGAATTTTAAATAGGTTTATTTAAAAACAAACAAACCTCTATTTAAATAAAAGAGTATCAAAATGTATTTAAATCAAGTTAGATTTGTTTTTTAAATCAGTTTGTATCCACCCCGGTATGAAGTAAATAGAATTTTCTGCTAACTGTTCAGTTTTAGTAATATTAAATTACTTGCAACAACAGCACTTAGAGTTGTTTAAATTTGTGTAAGTTAATATACTCAAGCAAAGGTTTCTGTGCTTTAAGGTCTAGCTGATGCACAGGAGTAAGTGGTTTGTAATTAAAAACTGCCATGGCAGTTGAGTACTGCTAACCTGAGTGCCTAGGTATTTGCATTTTTCAAGCAGAGACACCACATTTGTACAATCACTGAAATTAAGAGTCAGGTCCCTCCTCCACAGAATCTTTGTGCTGTGAAGCACAAGATGAACATATGCAATCTTTGTCTCTTGATAGAAGAAATTTGTTTTTAAAGGCTTATTTGATTCAGCAGACTAGCTTTGTGTTTAGACAGAATACTGGGAGAGGAGAGGAGGAGGAGACAGGAATCCACAGAATGAATTTCAGCAAAATAATTTTTATTTCGTACTAACATACAGTGAACACCCATCAAGTATTCTGTACACAATTGAGTTGAACAACTACTGTCGTGATGTATAAAGATACATATTAAGACACGTGAAGCTGCTCTTTTACAAAATGATTGCTTTTAGTCTCCACATGTCTTTGGTACATCTTGAACATGACATCATTGGTAGATATGCAATTCTGTTATAATAAGTTACCTATGATAAGACCATTTTTTCCTGTGGAACTGTAAGCTAGTATTTCTCGTTCCTCCCCACCCCCCACTTAGGGCTTCCTGGTAGGAGAAATGTAGGCATTTCAACCTTTAGGTCTTAATTTTTCTGGTCATAGAACCACTTGTCCACTGTAGTCAGAAAAAGGGGGGGGGGGGGAAATAAGAGAAAAAAAGGTTTAAATTCAGTTATCATTGTACATTTAGAGTTATCATTGTACATTTAGTTCAAATTCTCCAGGACCCCACAGACCATTAATATTTCTACAGAAGAATTTGTGGACCCAGTGTTATCTGCCTGAGGCTATTAGGAGTTACTTACCAACCAATTCTTTCAAACTTTACTAAATTTCCTCAACCCTGGACTGTCAAATGTGATTTTGAAACGGCTTCTGCTCCCACTGCAGTCAGTGGAAGCTTTGCTATTAACTAGAATGAGAGCAAGACTCTTTTTGGCATTTTATCAGTATTGCTAAGTAGAGAAGCAATTAGAACAGTAACAATACAGCCTTAAAATTAGCTAAGCCTCCCTGATGTTTGCAGTCACTGTACTTTAATGTTTTTACACAATAGTGCAGATCAAGCATTCTGCACAAGCTCTAGGGCAGTACTAAATACTTAAAAATTCCAGAAGAGTTCCTGACTAGCTGTGATAAATGAAAAGGCGGGAGGGGGTCAGAGAGGAGGTAGCAGCTCCCTTTGATGGACACCCAGCCAACCAGCTAGCTGTAAAATCCCTCTTGGTAGCTGTTCTCTACTTGCTTTACCTGTAAAGGGTTAAAAAGTCCCCCAGGTAAAGAAAAAAAGTGGGCACTTGACCAAAAGAGCCAATAGAAAGGCTAGAACTTTTTTAAATTGGGAAAGAAACTTAAATTAAACACCCAAAACAGCTTTCTTGGGGATTACCTTAAAGGTTATAAGCAAACAAAAGCATCTGGGTTAGCACAGAGAAGTTCACAAGCCTTAAAAAAAAATATAAACAGAAATAAACCTAATTGCGTCTTCCTAAACATTTCTAATTTACTTACATATTTGGGTTGTTAAAAGTAGTTCTAGATATGATCTGATGATTTTTATATCTGGTTCAAACTTTACACAGTATTCCTGCTGCCCTGTCTCTTCAGCCCAGAGAGACCAACAGACAAAGGGAAAGTTTCTTTCCCAATTTTAAAAAGTTCTAGCCTTCCCATTGGCTCTTTTGGTCAGGTGCCCACTTTTTTTCTTTAATGGGGGACTTTTTAACCCTTTACAGGTAAAGCAAGTAAAGAACAGCCACCAAGATGAATTTCACAGCTAGCTGGCTGGCTGTCCATCAAAGGGAGCTACCCCCACTTCATTTATCACACTAGTACTCTCTCCAAACTAAGGGCTTAGCTACACTTGCAAGTTAGAGTGCTTTAAATCAGCCCCAGGCACCCTAACTCCTGAGGTGTCCACAGGCAAAGCACTTAGAGCTCCTGGACTCTGCAGCTGGAGCACTCCTGGTAATCCACCTCCACAAGAAGCATAAAGCTTGCTGCACCCTGGGTGAAACGCCCCGGGTGTCAGTGTGGAGGACATGTTGGATTACTGCGCTGTGATTGGCCTCCGGAAACATCCCATAATCCCCTGAAGTCAGGTGGCCACTTTGGTCATTGTTTAGAACTCGGCTGCAGACATGCAAGTATCCCCTTTCAAAGCTCCGTTTCTGACAGCCGGCATGCTTATCTGCTCCAGGACACAAAGCAAACCATTACTGTGGAATGCTGCTACTGCTGGGGCTTTTGTGCATCGGGGTGGGGAGGGAGGGGGGTCTGCTGCCATCTGAACTTACAAGACAGCATGCTGACACTCTCCGCCCCCCACATACACACAATACAGTCCGTCACACTCCACACACACACCCCATTTGAAAAAGCACACTGCAGCCAGTTGCACGCTGGGATAGCTACCACAATGCACTGTGGCGTTGCAAGAGCTGCTAATGCCACGCCACTGCTCTTGCAGCTGACAGTGTAAACACACGGCAGTGTTTTCCCTGCTGCTGTCTCTGAAGGCTGGTTTTAACTCCCAGCGCTCTACATCTGCAAGTGTAGCCAAGCCGTTTGTTAACAAGAAAGTTTAATCTGTGTTTCCCCCTTCTTAAGCAAACTTCATACTTGTTACTTTAGAACTTAATTACTACACTAGACCTTCCTTGGCAACAAGGCAGCCATTTTTATTACCCACTGATTAGACAATGGTGCAAAAAGGGCTCTTAGATTTCAATGAATCCTGAGCCATGGAGTTGGGAGCATTACCCCAAAAAAGTTTTTTGTGGAGACTGATCCCTTTATGGGGTGATGGGGCTTCAAGATGGCAGCTCATTTCAGGCATTTCTCTTTATTACATAGTTATGATCCCACAACTCCTGAAGTAAGGCAATCTGTGAAAAGGTTTTAGTAACAGACTTACTCTAGGACTGCATTGGTGCTAGCAGCCTCAAGATTCTAAGATTACAGACATGTTATAGCATCATATATAGAAAAAAAAAAGGATGGATGACCAAAGAATGCTTATAGTTGTGACAGCTGCTTCAGTACTGGCATCAATCAGTGAACCCATTTAATGTTACTAGGAATATCCAATTACAAGTTTAAAAATGCTTTTGCCTCATTGAATATGCTTGTATCTTTAATGAACCAGTCACACAGTAACAAATGCTTTAGAAACTGACAAGAGAGAGTATTGCTGTTCTGGCAACTTGTCTGGTTTTTGTTACTTCTGGTTCCTGGGGGTGTGAAATCAAGCCTCTTTTTTCAGCTCACTTATACATCGCACTATTAATGAATATATGTTACACTACTACTGTAAAATCTTCCCCCTTCACTTTTTTTTTTTGGCATAAAGTAGAGAGGTGTGCGTTCTGCTGCATTCACTATGCTTTCAGTCCTCTGAGTGCTTTCCTAAAGCTCAAGAAACCTACTAATCTCAGTATTCCTTCCTCTCTTCTTGTTAAAGCTATTCAAACAGCAGTTGCTGCAGCATCTTCACATGTACAAAATTAGGAGTTAACACAGTGGAAAAGTTGTTCAGACATTTTTAAACAGTGTTACTTACAAAATCTAGAGTTCTAAATAAAGCTTTTAGTTTATTTCCAATGCTTTTAAAAAATGTTATCATACTTAAAAATTGACTGCAAATATTTTCCTATAGAATATCTCTTAACACTTCTTAAAGTCACTTTGGAATGAGATGTAGGTTTTAAGGCTTACCTTCAGGTGGTATTGTATTGGCAGTTCCACAAGGTGGTACCTGATAAGTAAGAAGTGCATTAATGGCTTATGATTATGGAATCTATTAAGATCTGGAGACTGCTGTGCTTCTGGGTGTTCACAAAGCCCTCTCTTTACTAAACTAGATTTAAAATCCAGACTATATGAATATGGAGAGATTCATACCACCAATATTGGAGAACTATGGGTGATGAAGAACACAGCTATATATTGTCAGTATTCTGTAAATCAGCACAGCTTCTAGATAATATGGAAGTAATCAAGCCAGCTATTTTTTGGTGGCATTCTGCACTAGATGTATCTACCCCTACAAAGGCAAGGAGATAATAGGCTATTGTCTTTCTGCAGCCATAGCTATTTTATGTCCCAATACTGGATTCCAAAAAAAACCAAGAGCAAAGGACATTTAGAATTAGTTTTGGATTCAAGGTTTAATATTTCCCAAGGAGTATTTGCTTTCCTAGTGATAAGACGGAAAAGTATTGTGGCTGGTGACAATTCCAGTCCACAACCTAATGAAGTGTTCTAGCCTCAGAATTTTACCAGGTAGTTCTGACACAGCTATAACATGACACTTTTAGAAACCAGAGTAAGTTAAACAGGTTTATTTCTTCATCTATTTATAACTGGCCTCTGCTTCTGATCAGAATTATTTTAACATCGAAAGGATTTTTTCCATGACCTATCCATTCACAATTTTTTGCATCACTTCTATTAGAAATTGCCAAATATTGTGGTACTCCAGACTTACAGGTATAGCCAAATATTCTGAAGTACTTGAATTCCTCACCTATTTAGAAGTTTTGATTAATGCAGTACACATTAGATGTCAGACAATGCATTTGACAGGAAATATTCTCAAGGAATCAGAAAGGAGTCCTTTGGGAGGCATTCCGTTGCCATCAGAATGCATGATATTTGCAAAGGATAGCCTATACTTTAAAAACTGAAGCTCATGTTATGTCTTAGGTATTAATTTTCAAAAAGTTCTTTATACATTTTAACTTCAAGTCATTTACATGAGTTGATACAAAAAAAAGTATTTTTCTCCAGGTAGAACAATGTTTCAAGAGAGATTCCATCCCCAGATGAGTCGGGCAAGTAGAAACACTGAAAAAGGTGTTTGAGTTTCTGTACACCCATGCACCTCTGCTTACTAAAAAGTTCATGCTTAGTTTGGCCATCCAGAGTGATTTTAGCCAGTACAACAAGCTGCTCCTACAGGGAAAAAGTGTTTTTTTAGTGTACCGCCTAAACTCCTTTGGTCTTTTCTTTATAATCACAGACACCAGGTGTTATTAAAAAATAAAGATACCCAAATCTATTTGTACTTACTGCTTCCACAGTAGCTTTAGCAGATTCTTGACTAATACAAAAGGAGCTGTCTGACACAGTTGTATTTGCACTAGAAGAGAAAGGTGAATCGTGAGAGCGAAGTTCTTTCCCCAAAAGTATTAGACAACAGCATTAAAGGTGTTAAGGTTGCCCAATTTAAAAAAAAAAAAAAAACAGGCTGAAGGCTCAGTTTTTGAACAAGCTACAGAGTAAGTTGCTAACACTAGAGTAACATAAGAACGGCCTTACTGGGTCAGACTGAAGGTCCATCTAGCCCAGTATCCTGTCTTCCGACAGTGGCCAGTGCCAGGTGCCCCAGAGGGAATGAACAAAACAGGTAATCATCAAGTGATCCATCCCCTGTCGCTCATTCCCAGCTTCTGGCAAACAGAAGCTAAGGACACCATTCCTGCCCATCTTGGCTAATAGCCATTGATAGACTTATCCTCCATTAATTTATCTAGTTCTTTTTTGAACCCTGTTATGGTCTTGGCCTTCACAACATCCTCTGGCAAGGAGTTCCACAGGCTGACTGCGCTGTGTGAAGAAATACTTCCTTTTATTTGTTTTAAACCTGCTGCCTATTAATTTCATTTGGCGACCTCTAGTTCTTGTGTTAGGAGTAGTAATATACAACACTTCCTTATCTACTTTCTCTACACCAGTCATGATTTTATAAACCTTAATCATCTCTCCTCTTAGCTGTCTCTTTTCCAAGCTGAAAAGTCTCAGTCTTATTAATCTCTCCTCATGCAGAAGCCGTTCCATACCCCTAATCATTTTTGTTGCTCTTTTCTGAACCTTTTCCAATTCCAATGAATCTTTTTTGAGATGGGCGATCACATCTGCACACAGTATTCAAGAAGTGGGCATACGATGGATTTATATAGAGGCAATATGATATTTTCTGTCCTATTATCTCTCTCTTTCTTAATTATTCCCAGCATTCTGTTCGCTTGTTTGACTGCCACTGCACATTGAGTGGATGTTTTCAGAGAACTATCCACTATGGCTCCAAGATCTTTTTCTTGAGTGGTCACAGCTAATTTAGACCCCAGCATTTTATATGTATAGTTTATTGGATTATGCTTTCCAATGTGCATTACTTTTAATGTTGATAAATGCAATTTCATCTGGCATTTTGTTGCCCGGTCACCCAGTTTTGAGAGATCCTTTTGTAGCTCTTTGCAGTCTGCCTGGATCTTAACTATCTTTAGTAATTTTGTATCATCTGCAAATTTTGCCACCTCACTGTTTACCCCTTTTTCCAGATCATTTATGAATATGTTGAATAGGACTGGTCCCAGAACAGACCCCTGGGGGACACCACTATTTACCTCTCTCCATTCTGAAAACTGGCCATTTATACCTACCCTTTGTTTCCTATCTTTTAACCAGTTACCAGTCCATGAGAGCACTTCCCTCTTATTCTGTGGCAGCTTACTTTGCATAAGAGCCTTTGGTGAGGGACTCATAGACTTTAAGGTCAGAAGGGACCTTTATGATCATCTAGTCTGACCTCCCGCATGATGCAGGCCACAAAAGCTGACCCACCCCCTTTCCCTTAACTCAGCTGTTGAAGTCCCCAAATCCTGTGATTTAAGGACTTCAAGTCACAGAGAATCCTCCAGCTAGCGACTCCCGCCCCATGCTTGTCAAAGGCTCTCTGAAAATCTAAGTACACTATATCCACTGGATCCCCTTGGTCCACATGCTTGTTGACCCCCTCAAAGAATTCTAATAGATTGGTGAGGCATGATTTCCCTTTACTAAAACCATGTTGCCTCTTCCTCCACAAATTATGTTCATCTATATCAGTGGTCTCCAAAGTGGGGTGCACACAAGAGGATCCTTGGGGGTGCGCGGCGGGAAGAGCAGGTTTTGTTTTTTTTTGCTTCGGCAGTTTGGGTGGGAGTCTGAGGGGGTTTTTTTTTGGCTTCGGCGCAGCAGGGGGTGTGTGCTCAAATTTTTTTTACTGATGGGGTCCGCGATCAAAAAAGACCACTGATCTACGTCTGACAATACTGTTCTTGATTATAGTTTCAACCAGTCTGCCCGGTACTGAAGTCAGGCTTACAGGCCTGTAATTCCCGGGATCACCTCTGGAGCCCTTTTTAAACCCCTAATAAAGACTTCTTCTGTTTACTCCCATTTGCTGAGAATTTTTAATAAAAAAGCAGTGTAACAGAGGAGTTGTAACCTACCAATTGATTTCTCCTCCATCTGTTTTTTTAAATACTAGAGCTGTCCAGTGTTCATGAGTGCTTTTGATGATGTTAATTGCAAAGTCCTAAAATTAAAAAAAATAAATTCCATATTACTGGCAAATACTCTAATGATCCCCCATTCTGTCATTTAGATAGGAACCGGCAGAGCCTAATGTTTACAGTAGATATTTTAGGAGAGCAAATTTTCTTGCTATAAACGACTAAGTATCTCTACTATTATTTTGCCCTCTGTCACGATTAGTATTATAGTAACAGCTTGAGCTGCTAAGTAAGATTAGGGCCCCTTTGTGCTGGGTACTGTACGGATTCCTAGTAAGACACAGTGCTTGCCCCAAACACCTTCACAGACAAAATGGGGGATTATAAAATTTCTATTTTAAGAAGGAATTAAGATGCTGAAGGCCACATCGTAGGTGTATGGCACACAGAGGAACTGAACTCTGATCTCAGTCCAGTACCTTTACCATAAGACCAATTTCCCCTCTCACTAACAGAGCGTCTATGTTAGTGAAAGAGGTTGATGTTCGCTAACATTGTTGGCTTAACCTGACCTAACCTCTATCCTCCAACCCTAGTTTAAGCAAACTCTTAGATGTTGCCGTACTTTGTATCTAAGAGGATGGGTGGGACAGGAAAAAATAACTATAGCTATGTAGAGGAGCCGGGACATTGGTCAGTTTTTGGAAACATTTACTGAATATTTAAAGGAAGGGGACATTTCCAAATAATTTTTAGGCAAAAATTGTTTTAACATTTTTTCTTTTACACAAACATTTAAATTCAAAATACTGTATTTTTTAGACTCATGTGTAGCCTGACACACAAGAATCCTTTTCTAGCATATGATCCAGAAAGTGAAACTAGTAATGCAATGGTTATAGTCAAAGACAAGTGAAATGCTTAGTGAATATGGTTAAAAGATTATTTTTAAAAATTCTTGTTTCGCTAGTTAGAAATAATTGGAAAGAGGGATGCTATCAAAACAAAACCCTTACACCCTGAGGAAATCGGTAAGAATTTTGGAATATATGTACGACCATACAGTAACTTAGAAGAGGTAAGTCAGCTCCTTGGCTATAGCAAATTAGGACAACACGTCTGAAGGAGAAAGGTATGTACACAAGCTCACCACCCAGTCTTCATGGGCTACCTGTGTGCTTCTGTCACCCGCTAGGGGGCTCTAACAGGCCAAGACTAAGGTGGGGGAGGGAGGAAAAGGAAAAGATCAGTGAGATAGAGGGAAGCCCCAGTCATGCCCCTTTTGTTCTGGCTAAGCTCTACATGCCAATAGAAAGGCATGGGAGTTACTGTGCTGGTTGTATGCCAGAAGGTCCAGTGTTCTGGAGTGATCCTCCTGTAGAGGGATACACCTATTTTGTGTGTGGTTTCCAACAGCTGGGGGTGTTCAACAGGTGCATTGCACCTTAGGATGTAAGGTTTCTGCGAGCAAGCAAAATGAAGATGGGGTTGGAGAGAGCTAGAAGAGATATAAATCAGTGATTTCTATTACTGTAGATAAAATAAAGCTTAGTCAAGTGGCTTAGGTTTTCAAGTGAAACTTCAGTTTTGCAGTCACACTAGCATTTAAGTATGCAATATGTGCCTCACTCTTAATGTACAGACTATTGTTCCTCAACTGTAATGTGCTTTTTGGACAATCAGATTGGTTCTACAGATAATGAAGAAGCGGTTACATTACCCGGTCTTTAAATTCTCCATTAAATGCAAACTGGTTTTCTGGCTTCCCATCCGGTACCTTGTACCTTCTAAACCAATCCACTGTAGCTTCTAGGTATCCAGGTTTCATCTTTCTGACATCATCAATATCTAACAGGAGGGGGGGAAAAAAAACTCTTCTTTATCATGCAAATAGGTGCAGTCTTAAACTAGTCTATGCAATACGTATAATATTCTTTTGTCCAGACCACCTTTGAGTCTGGCACTACTGAGGAAAGTAAGCATTATGATTGTTGGCTACAGTACAAGACCTGAAACATCTCCTAGACAGTGTATGCCTAGCTCTCATGAGAAGTCATTTGTTAGGGACAAGTTTGGCTATGCTGCTATAAGTCAATTTAAGATAGAGTGGATTTTAGATATCTGAGAAGAACAAGATTTACCTCCCTGCCCAAGTTTATGCTAAAAAGCCAAGAAACAAGTTCATTTGAGAGGGCAAGAAGTCAGATTTGAGGATGGTTGATCCTCACAGTATATCCACCTGTCAAAAGCATAGAAGAGTTATTTTTCCAAAGATAGTTTATTGATAACCTTTAATAGGTCAGATTAGCCCAAGTTATTTTACTGGAATCTTTTCTGATTTTCAGGGGAGAAGGGGCAGAAGGAATTCTGACCTTTAGTCAGGAGAAACTTGAGTGGAGAACTTAGATGTGTTTTGTCAGATACCTCATGCTCACTTAGCTGCATGGACCCAATCAAGCCAGCTGTTACTCAGAGGTGCAAATTGTGCCAGCAAAATCTTATAAGTGCTGTGTATGCAATTCACCCTCAGCAGAGTTTCCACTCTCACCTTCCCTCAGGGTTTTGGCTGCACAAGGGTAACCAGCTCCCACTGGAAGCTTCCAAGCGACCTCTACCAGCAGAGGTGATAAAGTACTGTGCTGATCCAGTGCACCCTTCTGCTGCCTAGGCCAGCGCCACTTCTAGGAATATGTAGATCCCTTGGCACAGGAAGCAGGATAGGAGTGAGAAAGGGGGTTGTGTTCACCTTGCTTTGCCAAGGCCCTATGCAGACGCTGGCTAAAATCTAGCTCTATGGATTTTAAATGCAGATTTTTCTAGTATGAAGGAACATTCTGTTCAAAACCGCCAGTTGGGTAAGTAAAAAGCCAAAACAATGCCTTCCTCCTTGCTACTTACTGTTATAGTTGGCTGCTTCAGGGTCTTCAATATTGATTGCTATTACTTTCCAGTCTGTCTCCCCCTCATCAATCAGTGCCAGTGTGCCCAGAACTTTCACTTTAATTACTTCTCCTCTTGAGCACACCTAATTACATAAAATGTATTAATTATCTCTACCAATGTGCTATGAGATGTGCAACATAAGACAAATTACAATTCAGTAAAAAGTTAACATTCAAAACAAGTTCAGTAAGAGGATCAATACAAAAGACTGAATGGCTGGAAACTAATGTAAATCACACCACTGGGTAGCCATTAACTTGAACTTTTGCCTGAATAACATGAATTTGGGGAATTAAAATTCATTACATTTCAGCACCAGAAGTCTCCGTGGCAGCATTAAGAGAAGCCAAGTTCTTAATAAAAGACCCAAAAGTAGAAGTTAAGTAGTCTCTGGAGTCAGTTAATTTAACAGATTACAGTTCTAAGAAATAAACATCCTTTGTAAGATAGCACATTACCTTGCTTCCAATTTCACACACATCAATTGGATCATTATCTCCATAGTAGCCAGTATTTTCATCTTTATGTCCTGGATGTTCCCATGTCTACGTATGAGAAAGAGATTTTTAAACTTTTAAAAAGAGGAGAATCCCGGAGATTCAAAGTTTACATGAATGGATGGCTCTGAGTTTTTCATGCAGGCAGCAGTTTTCTAGTGAAGAAGCTTAATTAAGATGGGATGTTTCTCCATTGGGTTTCAGTGGGAAGAAAGTCAGTTCTGATTGCTGGTTAGGAAGTTTTCACTTTTTACATTTGTTTACACTTTATCAATTTTAAGATAGCCTGTTTACTTTGTCCATGGATCTGGGATTTCTAGATCAGGATAAGCTGCAAGCTCACTTCCTCTGACTATTTTTTTCCAACTACTTCTCGTTATCAGAACTGACCTGACTTCCTCCTAGGTCAGAGGGGAGGATACAGAAGGTTAGCAGGATAATTAAGAGACAAGTAAGATCAGTGTTAAGATAGTCCTTTTAAAATAAGGAATTTGTAACGGCATTATTTACATCTTTATGCTTGCAGGCAGGCAGCCAAATTTGTCCACCCATTTCTTTGAAGATGGAAAATTTGTTTGAATTTAAGGGCAGTGTGTGGACAAAGTTCAGAGAAGGGTATGGAAGAGATCCATTCTGTACAGGTTGCCATACAATGTGTTTTGTTAGCTACAACATTAACTAAAAACCTAGTTTATTTATACTAAATAGAAAGCCTATTTCTAGAAAAGGCCGGGACTGTTCAAATTACAAATGTGAAGCCCAGTAGAATGCAAGTACTAATAATGCATCTTGTCTAAGGTGATTTTAGTATAATTAGCCATAGGATCCTAAAGCATTTTCAAGTAATGTACACATTAATGATTCTCTTCATGATTTTTCATTGTCTGTACACAACTGAGTGTAGGATCTCCTGACAGGCTGCTTTTAAGAAGAATTTGTCTGGCAACTGAAATCCAAGTCAGACCATTAGATGAAGCAGCAGGGGTCTGACACTTACACATGGGCACAGAATCACTCCCATCAGAGAGTACTTACCAAATGTCTAAAACATTCATTCTTATGTAGCAACATTCTTCAGTTAAGAGTATCGACCTACTACTAATTTCTGAAGACTGCTGTTCAACTGAATTGATAGGTGGTAGGGGTCCTTGTAGCTTAACTGACATTTTATTACTGGTATAAAGCCAGTTTTATTCTACGTTGGTATTTTGCTGCAAGTTTATATTTTTGTTAGCTTGTTTACAACATGATTTGCATACTTACCTTCCTCTTGAGATTCTGTCAGTGTCACTACTGACTAATATTTCCCCTCATTAGCATTTGCTATTTCAGTTTCAGTCTGAATAGATTAAGCAAATCTTGTTTTCTTAGCATACTAGCATTCACATTTTTTTTAAATACATAAATATGTTCAGGATTGTGTTTGTGTGGCTAGTATCTAGTTTCCACCGCAAGAAAAAGATATATGTACAATACAATACCTGTGGGATAGCACCGTAATTCCAGATATAGCCCTTGTGAGGAAATACATTAGCAACATAACGCAGCTTTCCTTTCTTCACATCTTGTTTAATTGGGTTTAGAGGATCCTTTGTTGCAATCTGAAACAGACAAATGTAGTTACCTGCATGTATTTTACCTAACTAAAACAATGACCATTTAGTTACCCTGATCCCAAATGTTCAAAATTAGAAATCTGAATCTAATCTGAAAACCTGACTGCTTATGTAAGGGTGCTGAGAACCCATCAATTCCCTTCAAAGCCAACAAAAGCTGTTGGATTCAGTACCTTTGAAAGTTTGGTCACACAGGCAAATGCCAAAATATGCCTAGAGGCTTTTTTTCCTCTTTTTCATAGAAAGTCTTGGCCTGGGTTCGCCAGTAAAAATAAATACTATAGACATCATGGGTAAATTTTGCCTCTGGAAGAGTTGCTTAAAATGATATCCAAACCAGTCCTATTTGGAATGAGACCCTTACTTGGAGATTAAGATACATTACAGATTGTAAAAAGAAGAACAGGAGTACTTGTGGCACCTTAGAGACTAACAAATTTATTAGAGCATAAGCTTTCGTGGACTCCAGCGCATCATCAGAGATCTACAACCTATCCTGAAAGATGATCCTTTACTCTCACAGATCTTGGGAG